ATCCTTTTTTAACAGTTGTATGGAACATTTCAATGATAATCTATCGCATGCAAACAGTGCATTCATCTCAAATATTTTGCAATTTTGTCTGTTGATGAAAAATTAACATATTTTGCTTACAGGGGAACATATCAATATGGAAACGTGACGAATCGAACACTTAGATTCGCAGAAAGGAAACTTTCCAATATATGCAGTTTCGAAAACTTGCATGCTGACTTTGGCACCATAATATCGCTATCACTATGCCTCCTTCACATTCAGCAAATTTCTTTCAGCATGAAATGCCTGCTTGTCCATATGCTGTTCAGTTTGTACAGATCCTTCGATCTTATGGCTTAGTGACTTTTCTGCACTGAACTGTTCATTACTTTTGCTCATTTGTTTTTGATCTTTTGCTCATGTGATAGAGATATATAACGTTAAACACTTAATTAGTTTTTGTTTACGGAAAAGAACTTGAAAACATTTAGTGCATTTAATTGATTTAAGAATTAATGTCGCCATACTTTCTGGAAGTTTACCAAAATACAAGAGAGAATCACAAACAAATCTAGCAAAGAACCTTTCTTTCTCCAAATACTCCTCATAACTTACTTAAATTATTGAATGTCGCAAGAGGGCAACGGCGTCCCCACGTTTTTTTGCCATTTGCCATAATATTATATCTTGAGCAATATCAGACATCATTTCAAGCCAATCACTGTACCACGTTTGGCTTACAGTTTGCCGGTAGGTGCGGCCTATCTGCATATCCGACAGTTCGTCTTTAATGCTATTCAGCCATAAGGTCGTCGGCCTGCCTCTCGGTCTTTTCCAGGATTGGTTCGTCACACTAAGAATGAAGACACTGATCAGCCACTTGTCGTCTCGTTACAGTGCATAGCCGAGAAGCGAGAGTTTTAGTTTCTGATATTCATCAGAGGGAGAGCTGATATTATTCCCTGCCAGGCGAACTCCATTTGTACTCATTCTAACATCCTGCAGCAGTTGTGCATTCATGATCTTATTAGGCAATCTATAGCCGAGTATTCTGCGCGAAAGCGTTCAGATACATCAAAAAGCACATTAACTTCCTTCTTGCTACGGGTCCACTTTGCTGCAGCTACACCAATACTAGTCGGATAGAAAATACATGCTGGATTTCCCTGAAATACTGACAGCAGTTTTCCACAGGTTTTGCAGCAAAAATGTTATATGCCATTCGAACATTGATGGTTCTTTCCTGGATTCAGCTTCAAAGCTTCTGTCACTAGTGATCATCGATCCAATAATGGCGATATACTGCCCATCTTCCCCGTAAATTTTTCTGATGTCGACATTTTCTGGTGCATATCGTCAAAAAAGGATTTTGCATTTCGGCGGTTTCAGTGTTAATCTGTAATTGGTGCTGACTGTCTCTACTGCCGTCAACATCTTCCGAAGTTCTTTCCTGTTTATTTCAAGGACTGCAACGTCGTCATCATTATCCTCATCTTGTAAATAGTGCCCCAAAGGATGGACTATCATTTTACTAGTAAAGTTAGTTTGTAACTAACTGTGTCTGTCATTACGGCACCAATGCGATAGTTGAATAACATCGGTCGCGTAGTACTCTTGCGTATTTCGCTATCAATCGGAAAGCTGTCTGGGACCACTGGATGTGTTCGTATCACCGCAGTTGCCCTGTTGTAGATGCTTTTAAAGATGTTAACAACTCTGCCTGGCATAACATCATTTCTCAACAACTCGAACAGACGACGTTCGTATTTTGCTTTGTTTTAATATATCATTTACAAAGTTTTAATCTTATTCGTTATGCTCAATCATACCATAGACAAAAAACATTATATATTATTATACGCTGAAAAAGAAACCTTGTTACGGGCTAAGTGAGCACAACTTTCAGTAAAGATTTTTCTGTTTTAAACCATTATTTGTCTCTGATTAGGATTACTAGTTTTTCCTAGCATACTCCCATGCTCTGAAAACCCAAAGAGATTTTTATTGAGTTTTTGAAACACTACAACCTACAGTGAACTTTGGACTTGAAAAGGGTCGGTGGAGACTTCTCAGACAAACTTCTTAGGATGCAGCCTTGACGACGCCCACTTGTGCAGCCCTCAGCGTTCGATTGTGCAGCAGATAGCCCACCTTCTGTACGACTGCGACGGTGCCAGGTTCCTTTTTCGGATCCGGTATTTCAAACACCGCTTCATGTATGTTCGGATCGAACTTCATCCCGAGCGGATTCTCTTGAACGAGGCCGTGCTTAGCGAAGATCTTAAGCAACTGCGTCTTCGTCATTACCATTCCTTCATGCAGGTTTTTCACTTCCTGACTGCTATTCAGAGTACTTTCAGGAATGGCATTCACCGCAATCTGCAGTATGTCAGCAATCTAAAACGAATAATTAAGAGACATGGTCGAATACGGTAAAAATTCTTATTCTGAATGCTGTCTCGAATTCGGCTTTAAATCGCAATCACTATCACTGAACACAGAAACGATCGTTGTTCATAAAGCAGTACTTGAAATCACCTTTAAGACGACGATGGTAAAGATACATCTCTTGGTGCTATTATGAGGTGAAAGAGACAACCTGATTCTTAAAGCACAGGAGAAAACAGCCGTCATGTGATCTACAGTACGCTACGCAGATTTCCGGAAAAAATTCATAACAGCGCATCTGCTGAATATCTGGACGATGGAGATTACAAGGACATTGTCAGTAACAGGATGAAATCTCTTAATTAATCAAATCATAATGCTTACTACTTAAATTAGCGAAGGCAGCAAGTAAAATTAGTACCGACTACATCTACTTACGTTTCCCTGCTTGATCAAAGGTATTTCCATCCCAGTTTTCAAGTTCACCGGTAATGGTGTCTTTTCCGTACTAACTGCAGTTTGACAGATACCCCTTAGCCACAACGCCTAGTTCGCCTCAAATTTTAGACATCTCGGCTGATTTTATCGATTTCAACTGCTTTGTCACTTTTCAAGCTGTGACTTCATCTAATGAAAATTCTTCAGGCAACTCTTAGTGCGGTTGCTGAGAGTTAAGCAGTTCCAAAGTAATCTCCCTATTGTCGAAGAATGTCCTATTCCTACGTAAGAAGGCGTCCGAGTCCCTTCTTTCCATCTCGGAAGCGGCGGATGGTCTACCAAAATACATCTTGTTTGTCGTTGGAAATTCGACTCCAGTCCTTCACTGAACTTTTCCTGGGAATCAACTTTTGCTTTAGCCACTGCTTTCACTGCTGTTTTACTGGCTTCTTCATACTGCATTGCATTTAAATGCTCTTTACTTCCAAACCATTTCTTGATTGCAGCTTTCTTCTCGATGACAGTCATCAGCTAAACTTCTCGTGTCCACCGAGAAGTCGCTTCTGACTTCCAGGCGGCAACACAACAAGCATTAAACGACAACATTCAGCAGCAGTCCTGAGTAAACCGCTCTTAAAGAGAGATTTCACTCGGTTTCCACATATCGGCGGTCATCATTGGGATTTGCTCAAACCGTTATGCTATGTTATATGCAAGTCTTGTCCTCGTATTCGCAGAAGATAATTTTTCCCATTTGATTCTCTGGTTTCTTGTGCCGCCAGGTCTTCGCATAGTACGTCATCGTTTACAACCGAGAGGTGCCTACAACAAGATGATGATCGATTGACAGCTATGAGTTTCTCTTAAAGCGAATATTCATTACAGACTTGGTAAGTGAGACCGTACGATTATCAAATCGATTACTGACTTCTGTGCACAAACCTCTCTGTTGTACCAGGTATACTGATGCACATTTCGAAGCTAGGAGGTGTTCATAGTGGACAGTACGTTGTTTGCACAAAACCGCACCAATTTCATGCCATTATCGTTAACGTTGCCGGGGTCGCTTTCCAACTGCGCTTTTCCACTTGTCTGTTTCCTGCAGCTGCGTTGAAAAACCTCATCAAAATGATGCATTCCACAGCAGACACTTCGTTCAGAATACCTATTACTTCCTCCAGTAAGGATTTGTATTCTCCCTCTAAATTAGGTGCATAGTCATGTAACAAGCTGGAAGTTTTAGCTATCTTGTAACTTCAGCCGAATAATCGCCATCCATCCGCCGACAGGCTTCCATTCAATTCTGTCAGCCAGGCTTGGTTCTGCTAGAACATCAACACCGGTTTGAGCGAGCATCGTGATATCGACATCTGAGTAGAACAAATTCCATCCGCAGAGATTCACAATTACAGAACGTTGACGAGATTCCAACTATGTCCAGGTAGTATCTTGTGGCCTCAACAACTAACTGCTGTTTTTTTACCTCTAAGTTAGATGTTCCACTTCCTAACTGTGAGCTCTGACTGTCGGCATTGTGCGCATGACTCGTGCAATAATAGAATCGCGGTGTCTGCCTCCTCCGTTCAATAAGGGTAACAGCTCCGTTGGTGACGTGAATCTTCGTCGTCTTCTTGTCGATCTCAAGCAGCCGCCGCCCTTCTGCTGCGTCATATGGCAGAAGGCGGGAAGCAGTCACGCAACAAGCAACCAGAATAAAACATTCAGTAGTAATACAAAGACTGACGAAGGAGAAAAGGGCTTGATGAACAGAAAATTGATACAGCAATGAATAACATACAAACGCATACGGCGGCACAAGAAAGGATCGTTACAAGCAGATTCAGCCTTTCCGATTCTTCATGCTGCAGAATCCAAGTCATAATCATATAAAAATAATAACAGTCTTTGTTTAGATGATAAATACAGGAAATACGGTCATCCAGACCTGCACATCAATTACAGTGTTCTGAACATCGAGCACGCGAAATTCAGCTCATGAGCAAAACAGAAGGGAAACCTATTCTAAGCATTTCTTTCAAGGGAACTGTCTTCTATCACAGACAAACTGCAGGACAAAACTGAACTCAGAAATATCTCGTTGTGACAGGTCGTTGACCGCTTGCGACAAGAAATATGCTTTCTACAGTAGCGATCGTAAGCTGTAAACTGGGACTCATTCTAAACTTGAGCTATCCTGCTATTCAACGTTTATTAGTCTTAGATAACGAGTACCAAAAGAAAAAAGAAATCTGGCAACCGCTTGAATATCGGCCGCTATCTTCTACGATTGTAGTATTTCTAACACGATATTTCACTGAGATAATGTTGCTGGGTTAATCGCCAGGACGGCATCACTTAGAGTTATTTTTCGAAAAAAAATGTCAAGCTTGGTAATTACTAAATCATATAAGAAGGCAAATCATTTCTACATAGTGGTATTCATTTATGTACCTAGGAAAGATAATGGGCCACGTGAAATATCATGATTCTAATCTATGGTTATTTAACTGTAAATTCAACCTTTACAGGCCA